ACTAAATGTAACACCTCCAAGTTTCCAGATGACACATTGCTGAGTGGGAGGATAAACTGAACAGGATGCTTCAGTGTCATTTGGACAAGTTTAGTGAGTTAGCAAATACATGGTAGATGACAATATAAGGTGGAAAAATGTAAGATTCATTTTGCAAAATTATTCACATCACATTAATGGACAGGCATTGATTATGATAGAGGACGAATTGTGTGTTCCATTTTGAACTGTTGTGTAGTGTTAGTAAAAAGGAGGCAGATTATTATCTGAATGGCATTAGGTTAGGAAAGGACAAAGTTCTTCATTACCTGGGTGTCCATGTACACCAGTCACCAAAAATAATCAGGCAGGTGCAGCAGGCGTTGAAGGCAAATGATACAACACTCTTCATAGTAAGAGGATTCGAGTACAGGAGCATCATCCGACTTGCTGCATGAGACCATACCTGGAGTACTTCATGCAGTCTTGGTTCCCTTATCTGAGAAAGGATACTCTGGCTACAGAGGGAGCACAACAAAAGTTTAACAGACTGATTCCTGGGATGGCAGGATTGATGTGTGAAGAGAGATCAGTTAGGACTATATTCACTGGGTGTTCAGAAGAATGAGAAGGGATCTCACAAAGTATAAAATTCCAACATAATTAGACAAGGTAAACAGAGGAAGGATGTTGCTAATGACTGGGGAGTCTAGAACCAGGCGTCCCAGTTCAAGGATATAGGATAGGCCTTTTAGGCCTGAAATGAGGAGAAATTTCTTCACCCAGAGAATGATGAGCCTATGAAATTCTCTGCCACAGGCAGCTATTGAGGCAAAATCATTCAATGTTTAAGGAGTAAGATATAGTTCTTAGGGTTAAAGGGACCAGAGGATATAGTTTAGAAAGTGGGAACAGTGTACTGAGTTGGATGACCAGCCACGATCATTTGAATGGCATGATTCCATGAAGGGTCGAATGACATACTTCTGCATCCAATTTCTACGCTTCTATTATTTCCAAATTTTAAAACAGTGTTCACTAGTTCTGGATTCATCTGGAATAAGACACATCCTTTCCACACAGACTATTCAGGATCTTATATACTCTGATTTAGTAAGTGCTCAGTCTTTTAAGCTCCAGGGAGACCAGCCCAGTCCATCTAAGCCTCTCATTCCAGGTATCAGTCTAGCAAACCTTCTCTGAACCTTCTGCAATTCACACTACTACACCGTACATCAGTACTCCATGCTAGTCTTAAGTGGATAGAAAAACATAGATAAAACAAAAAAAGGTAGTTCTCTTCAGAATTTACTGAGGATGTACACGGACAATATGAACAGAAGCAGAGTCTAGAGAATGAAGTCTAAGATACCACCAAGACCAATATAAAACATGCCATTCATTTCCTAAAGTAGAACTTTTAGGTTCTTAACTGATCAGCAAGTGCATGACAAGCTCAAGGTCTCCAAGGTTCATGAGGTTCTGCAGATTCCGTACTTCTGCTTTATAAAGAATCCCACCTACACAGAAACAGCAGATTCCAGAAGGTATGACAATACAGAAAGAAGACAGTGAAAGTGAAGCAATAATGCCTAAAACAGAAATGTAGTCTGGAAAAGGCGCTGGTACAAAATATATATTTGGTTAAAGACCTTAAATGTGACTTTCAGAAATTCTCCTTTGCATATGTACTAAATACAGTGGTTCAAAACAGACAGTCAATTCTTCCTCCATAAATCAATGCTAATCTATTAATGTGATGTAGAATAATTTTGCACAATGACAAAACATACAAATTAAGCATGCAAAACACTGAATTGAATAATATATGAATCATGTTTTGCTATTGTGTTCAAGATTCAGTTGCATATTTAATCCACCATTTTTTAAAAGAAATGCAAAGGTATGTGGAAAGAACAAATACATTGGCTATTTTTAAAGTGGAGGTAAATGGATTCTTTTTAAGCAAGAGAATCAAACGTTGTCGGGATAGGTAGGAACGTGGGTTTCTGATGGCCTTCCCAGGTACTTTGGGGATAGTGAAAGCTTCAGTATGCCAAATTATGCTCTTTCCTCCATGAGTCTTGGCAGACAATTTACCATGCTTAACATGGTAATATTCAATTCAAAGGCATTTCTTCCTTCTTGTAAATAGCTAGCTTTCCTTTCCAGTACTCTTCCAGGCACTAAACTGGTAAAATTCAACGGTCACAGAAGATTTAGGAAATTAGAACTGCCCTGTTCTCTTTGAACTAAAATGCAGACTTTCATGCCAGAGTCAAGCAGCAATATTGTCTAAATCAAACTAGTAGCATTGCCTTGGGTAAAAAATATCCTAGCAAACCAGAATTTAGTGATGGACACCAATAGCAATTTCTGGGCTCTTCCCTGCTATGTTGATGCTCTGGGAAGCACTGGCATAGTGGTAATTAGTGATTCAGGTACCTAGTCAAATATGCTGGAGACATGAATTCAAATTCTACCAAGGAAACTGGTGAAATTTACATTCAGTCAATAAATCTGGTTTTGAAAGCTGGTCTCATGAACATAAAACTACCATTGGGTTATTACAAAGATCCATCTGGTTCACTAATGTCCTTTACAGCTTCAGAAAAGAATTTAAGTTACAGTACTGCACACTTTTAGTACTAGCACAAACTAAATTTAACATTTTAACCATGTTATACAAAATTGTGTATTATTCCATTAGTTTTATATATCAATGGATTTTTGTCTATATGTTTCAAATATAGTTTGAGTTTCAAGTATCTCCAGATTCTCTCACAATATTCCAACATGTTACAGCTACTTCACAGCCAGTAAGTAAGGTTAATAAATCAATGCTGCTTTTTTAAAAAAACTTAAATCTTCATTTTAGAAGCTTTAATCTACTCTAAAGCAAGAATGAATGACTAATTTATCATAACTGCTTCTGGATCGGTTACTAAAATAAGCAATGCACATGCATTTTCACAATTACTCTTTTCTGCAGTTCACAAGGACAATCAAACAATTCTTTTCACTGAAGTGGACATTTCTCAAGCCAAATGACGCGTAAATATCAAGTGCTGAAACTCTTGAGTTTAAAAAAAAGTTCAGTGGAAGTTATAAATATCAGTTAATTGCTGGAGTAAAATTGCAACTCTACACCAGTGCAAGATTTAAAAACCTCTAGGAGCTACAAGTCGGTTATTGTGACAAGCAAAGTTCCACATTGATACTGCTTGAGATATATGCATTTGACTCCAGACCAAGAGAAGCGTGGCTGACTCATAACTGCCCTCTGGGCAATAAGGGATACACAATGAATGCTGGTCTAGCCAGCAACACCCGCAACCCATGAATGAAAAAAAGGGTTCGGCTGCATCTGTGGAGACACAAACAGAATGAATATTTTGAGACCAATATAACTCTTCATCAGAACTCCAGTTCAAGGTGGGCAGGAAATGAAATTTCATGGAGAGTGAAGCTAGTTGCAGAGCTGTAGACAATAGGCTTGTATCTTTCCAGTATTTCACTAAAGGAAATTGCAACTCCCCTAAGACTGTCTCAGAATGCACTCTGAAAGTGTGTCAGTCAGAATGAACACTAATACAGTAAAAGTAATGCAAACTCAAAGAAAAGTAAAACTTGAAGAAACATCAAGAAAAAAGTGAATCAAGCGTAAGAAAATAAATGAGGAAGAAATTCAAGCGTAAAAAGCAAGGAAATAATGAATAAATGCAAATAATTCTGGGTGCGAATTATCCCTTATCCTATAGTTATAGTTTACCTTTTCATGCTTTCTTATCATGTATGCCACAAAGCAGTTTCTCATTGATCTCCTTTCAGGACTAAATGCTTCAAGGTTTTTTTCACCCCTCAGATGCTCAGGGTCAGTCTTCACTTTGAAAGCTTTAGAGTTTTCCTAGACAGTTACTGAGCAGAAACGGACACAGGTCTTGTGTGACCATCTTCCCCACTTGCATGTAAGGCTTCAATTCACTTACACTTAATTGCATTTTCTATTGTTCCATCCACTTAATTTCAGAAAATGAGTTTGATGAGCTTCTGGCAGCTTTCTCATTCCACCTTCTATTTTCATGTGTGATCACTGCCTGGATTTTAGTTCCCAGGTTGGATGTGCGAATTCTGGAGAATTCACGGCTCAGAGAAGCGAATTGTTAAAAATGGCTGCCCACAGTACCGATTTTCAGTCAGGAGGAGCCCACATCAGATTTTGGGAAAAGTGAACGTATAAGAACCATGGAGGCCACTGGGTGTGGAGGCAGACTGGTGAAATCAGAGATAGTAGGAACTGCAGATGCTGGAGAATCCGAGACAACAAGGTGCAGGGCTGGATGAACACAGCAGGCCAAGCAGCATCATAGGAGCAGAGAGGCTGACGTTTCGGGCCTAGACCCTTCATCAGAAAAGGGGGAGGGGAAGGGGGTTTTGAAATAAATAGGGAGAGAGTGGGAGGCGGATAGAAGAGGGATAGAGGAGAGGATAGGTGGAGAGGAAACAAACAGGTCGAAGAGGCGGGGATGGGGCCAGGAAAGGTGAGTGTAGGTAGGGAGTTAGGAAGGGGATAGGTCAGTCCAGGGAGGACGGACAGGTCAAGGGGG